AACGGACCGATGGTCGAGCGTCATGTCAGCAGATTTGTTTCGTTTGACCGCTAGAAGCTGGCTCAAGTGAAAGCGGGACACTGTCCACCAGACTCTACTCACAGTGAGAGCATTTGCAGCGTTCAAGCGGATACCCTGCCACGTATCAGGCACAGTGAAATGTAGAAGCTTTTTCAAATCCCGAGTAGCCAGCGCGTGGTAGCCGCCACCTGCAGCCGCCATGCTCCCTTCGTCCATGGGCAGAAGGGAGGGAGAGGCAGGCTGCTGCGAAGTCGAGCCTGCATTCTCTTCGCTGAGCAGAGCATCGATGAAGAAGAGGATGTTGAGTCGAGCGTTGAGATTGGTCTGTCACAAGCGGCAAGCATGCGCATCGAGTGTCAGCGTGATCAGAGAGTAGTGCACGTCGAGATTCCAGATCCACCCTATTCTCGCCGCTTTGGCGTACACCATGCGAGCGTCGAGTCTCCCTTTCTGAAGGAGAGACCAATAATATCTTGCACTGGCAAACTGCGAGATACCCAACACGCACCTTTTCAGCCTCTCCAACAGTGCAGTCCCAAATATCGTTTCTAGCTTTGTCAGCATGCACATTGGCGAAAGCGATCAGCTTGGCTATGCTCTGCTGAGAAGCCGTGAGCCTCCTCAGAAGGCTCAAGAAGTCGAGTCGGATTGAGAAAGCGTCCATCTTGATGAGGCCTGACTGCGTTCCTTGCTGCCGCCCTGGGGAGTGCTGATGATGCGCGCCTCTCGCGGCCGAAGCAAGAGCGGCAATAATAGCTTGCCCGAACTTTGAAGCGGCCCTACTGGAGCGTGAGGAGAGCGGATTCCATCCTGACAAGTCTGATCAGCCCAAGTCCATTTCTGGCTAATCAGGTCAAAGCACGATGAATGTAGCAAGTAGGCAAGCGCCAACCGCTATCTTCTCCACGCACATCACATCTTCGTTATTATTACGATGCACTTAAAAGCCGCGTCACGTGACCACCGCCCGCTTTAAATCTTTGCGACATGATGCATCATGCTTTGGCAGGAGGGAGCCCACAGCTGGCTGACGAGCAAGAGCAGAATCGCAATCTCCCCTTCATCCTCCATCCCACCTGCCCTGGCTTTCGAGACGACATCATCGCACAAGATCGCGCCACTGCTCACCTCATACGTTGCTCTGACACA